CTGTCACTTTGCTGCTACTCTGTAATCATGTTGCAGCTCTCACGTCTTTCCATTTGCTGCTACTTTGGCAGCTTGAACACCACAACTCCAACACCCACCGGAAATCGGCCACCTTTACGAACTCATAGTATTGGACGTAAGCTATAACAATATCATCGGCCCTGTTCCTAAAAGCATTGCGGGGTTAGTTCATCCGGACCAGCTGAATTTAGCACACAACACGCTGAGAGGAACCATGCCGGACGGAATCTGTGCGCTGCCTAATCTGGTGAACCTTGCAATTTCTTATAATTTTTTCTTTGAAGAAGAGGGGATTTGTCAGAATCTAACGTCTAGAGGTATTGCGTTTGATAATAGTTGGAATTGTATTCCGGATAGAGTTAAGCAGAGGACTTGGAATGAATGCCAGGACTTGAAGCAGCATAAGGTAGACTGCTCAAAGGTCCAGTGCGGTAGCAGCGTCGGTGGTAGTGCATTTCCATGTCCCCTTGTCATGGTACCTCCTGCTGCTGCTGCTGCTGCTGCACCTGTGCTTTCGAATGCTCCAGTGAAATGTGAAATAAGGATGTAAGATGAGTTAGAATCTAAGAAGGCGAAAAAAGGGCTTAATAGAAATGCTCACTATACCATACCATAATAAATTTTATAAGATAAAGAAAAAGATGTCATACCATAGTCTCTTTTCTTCTCTTTCTTTCATTTTCTTGAGTTAGAAGAGTTAATTATCTTTTGTTTATTAACTTATTTTTTTCTTATATCATACAATTTAAATTTACGAGCTTTTTATTTTATTAAAAAAATTTAATACTAAATTATGTATGTCCTTAGCAACTCAAAAATATGGAAAACATTATAATACTAGTTTAACTGACCACAATAGGACTTATTGAACTCAATAATTTTGATGATTGGAAATTGAACAAAGGCAATAAAAGTAAAGACATTCGTTGCGAAGAAGTTACCATCTCAGTTGAAAATATGAAGTCACTACCTTGGTTGAAAATAACGAGCTTGTGCCTGGTAAAACAACTTAACAAGTAGGGTTTTCTTTTTTCATTTTTCTTTTTTTCTTTTTTGGTTTTTTCAAGAAAAAACTTATCAGAAGTAATAGAAATCAAAAGATGGAACAGAGTTGATAAAGTTTCGATCGTTCATCTGGGTTAAGGCAAAGTTCGCTTCAGAGCTCTCTAAGGAATGCTCGTACAACTCTCCTAGTAAAGCTCTGCACTTGATCGGTTACGCTGCAGAATGATAATGGAATACCAGGTGGAGTGAGTTTTGCTCTTAAAGGGGTAATCGTCAGCCCGCAAACTATGTTATTAATAAGCTAAGTCTTTATAATATCTAGCATTCTTAATTTTGTAAAAGGATTATAAAGCCTCTTGTACTCTGTTTTAATAATATAATTATCTTTACTAATTAAAAAAAGAAAAAAGAAAGAGAAGACGGAAAACAAGCATGAATAAAGGAGACAGAATTGTTATACTTGAAGCAGCTAGCGCATATGAGCGTAAGGATTCTCTTATTTTACCAATATAAATTTTTCTTACTTAACGATGTTCTGTTTTTTGAAAATTTTACTTTGAAAAAGGTATTTTGTAGTTCATTTTATGCGGACAGCCATAATAACAGGGTCCTTGTAAAGCCACTGATAGACTTCATTAATTGTGAAGTTGAGATGTTTACAGTTCGTATAGGACAGACTACGAAACACCAAACTCCTTTTTTGACTCATGCATTAATCACAAATACGTACTCCCTGAGCCAAACCTGACCAAAGATATTTGTTGTCACAAAATGAATATTAGGTAAATATTTCAGATCTAAATCAAAAAAGCTTTCAGCAATGGTGGACAAGAAGTTCAAACTGTATCAAAAGTTCGTCTTTCTATTCTTGTTTTGCTCAAATTTATTTCTGAAAAAGCAGAAGATCAGTGGGTAAGAAGGATGGAAATGAATAGAAAAAATTGCGATTATTTTGGAACAACTACGTATTGAATTTACACATTGTACAATTGATGCAAGGAATTGTTTCCTACAAATTGTTGTAGTGTCAGTGAGTTTCAATCATGCTTATGCTCTATCTCAGCTTGAATATGGACCCAAACAAAATATAGTCTCTCGGCGGTCTTTTCTCTACCTGCAACAGAAATGCAAGCACGGAAGAATTAGTAGATAAGGAAACAAAGAGAGTGTTGTTTTCTAGCTCTTCTTCTTGCACTCATAAACATCACGTTGGCATAACTAAAGACAAAAACACTTGATTTTTTTTAATACATTTAATGACGAGTTATCTAAAAAGAGATAATCCTCATTTTTTTCCAAATTCCTCCCCATCTGACTCAAAGATTCAAACTTGAAATCTCCCATTTAGAATCTTAAGCCCTTAATTAGTTGAGTCACCCCCTCAAGGCACAAAAACACTATTAACGAATCTCCATGCATCCTCATTTATTATGAGTATTTTTGTCTTTTCTAATTTCAGTCGAATGTTTTCAAGTGCCTGACGGATTGTAAAAAGCATTTATGAGGAAATAAATGCAAACTTACATGAATGCTCTGAATGAATCATGTGTTTGATACAGTATAGTGAAATCCAAAATTTTAAATCATATGAGGAAGTTGGTATCAACCAGTAAGTGATTACCGTATGAACAAGTTGGGTCTCGTAAGCCAATTCTGCGTAATATGGACAAAGTAGAAGAAAAAATTCTTTAAGCTGGTGGTAAAGGACGCCGGCAAGTTGGGCATTCCATTTTTATATCCATCCACCTTTGCAAACAACCGGAATGAAAGAAGTGATCACATGGTGTTACCTAAAAGATTATTTAGAATCACATCAAGTTCACAGGTAATGAAAGCAATGAGCAAATAAAGATAACATTTCAATAAGTTTACCATGCAGTCATTTGAACGGTGTGTGAGATCAATGGAAGTCATGCATATAACACAATCTGTTGCGTGATTTGTGTCCTGATGATCAAATCTTCTAAAGTAGCTATACTTCTCTGGTAGGATCTGCAAACAGTGGACTAAAAGTGAGATTTCTGTCAAAATGATTGCAGGCTTCAGGTTAATAATAATAACAATAATCATATATACAAACTTAACTAAAAACTGCCAGACAGCCAGCCCAATAATGGGATGTGCCTTTCAATCAGAAACAGCGATGATATAATGCCAGGATGAAGGCCCGCAGAATTAGTAAAGGTTACAAGAGGATACTGGACACAAAAAATAGTTACAGTTTACACACTTACAGTACAAAACATTTCAAGGTAAGTCAGACTCTCATAAATTATTTTCTACATAAAAAGGCGGAAATTCGTCCACTTTGTGAATTGTGATTCCAGATAGTGGATGGGGAAATATCATAATATGCATTCAAAGGCATGTTTAGTTTGTACCTAAACATGAAGTAAACTGCAGAGAGAAGTGTGGTTGCTATGAAATGTTTGTGTCTGTACGTTAACAGATGTGCCCATTCATGTCAAATAAAAATACTTGGCAGCAAGCAAACAAGATTATGATAACAGATGCCTTCCAAAGATACCAAATTCAAAAGCACATGAATATCCTATACATACCAGAGGTTCATTTATTAAAATACCAGTGATTTAGCTGAATTCATATTTGAAATGGGAGGTCACAGAACAGGAGCCCTATGTTTTATTCCAATCAAAATGAATCCTGTGTGTACTGACACTTGGCCAGAAAATTTTGTTGAGGCACCTTATGTTATTAATACCCACAGAGGTGTGAATGTACATGTACAAGGGCAATGTGGCGTGGTTAATAACTACCCCATGGAAAACAGAGAACAGAAAACAAAAAGATCTTGCATTTAAAGAAAACTGGCAGAGTTGCATCCAACCTGATGAGGGACGAACCATCTGGACCCAAGATAATGTTGAAGAAGAAGAATTGACACTTGGAATCCAGTGAAAACAGCCAAGCAGATGCACCAGCTCTTGTCAGGCTCAATGCGCATGAAATTGTGAGGGCAGCCAAATATATATAATGGGATTGCTAGCCGAGTAACAGTCATGCCTAAGATATAATGAGGATGCAAAGGTTTTCTTGAATCACGGATGACATTGGTTATTATTTGAGGTATCCAAAAGGAGTACATCAGGAGAAGTATGGGTCGCAAGAAATTATGAAACTCATACATGACCAGAATGCCTCCTAGAAGAATCCCATCTGCAAAGAGTTTCAGTAATTAGATAAAATTAGTCTCACAACTTGATCCAAAAAAATTATAATCTAAGCAAGTAAAATTCCATAAGTAAACAATTCAGACTTCAAACAGTTTAGGTGGATAGTAAGAATCACAAGTGGGTGAATAAAATCACATAGAACTTAGATTCCTATTAATTTGTACTAGCTTGACTTACGATTTTTGCAAATTGTGTGGTTTTTAAATCCTCTACAGTCTTTGAACTTATATTTGGAGAATTTTTGAGGTCAAGGGTAATATGTAATCAGTACTTACAGAAACGGCTATATAAAACAGAAAGCTCCCTCCTCATTGTTTCCCAACCTTCACCATTATTCATAGGTCTACTTGCCTTCCATATTGCAAGCAGATATCTCATCTCAAATATGGAGAAGACTACAAACTTGAAGAATGCCGCAGTTGCAAAAGCATTAAATAATGATTCTGTATGCAAACAAGTAACATTGGCTTAGCAGGCAACTACAAAATGATCTTTGTAAAAAGGGAGATTCCCTTAATGGGAATAATGAAACAGGGAAGAAAAAACACAAACAGAAACTCATTGGAGATAGATTGCAATAATTCTTCCAGGAAGGAGGGATGCCCTCAAAGGAACAAAACAAAAGTTGTTACACAAGCATGTGTTGAAGGCATAATACTCTCATACATTACACTGTAAAGATCAGTTGAACAACACAACAAATCAATCTAAAAAAATATTTGAAGCTACAACTAAAGTGATTATCACTTGACTATTGCATGGATCAAGTGATGATTAAACAATGTGCCGCACAATCAATGAATTAAAATGATTACACCTTATACCAACAAAATTAAACAAAAACCATGGCATTCCATTCTAGTGGTATTGCAAACAAAGTTGCTTGTGTTTGAGTACAACTGTACAATAATGCTGATATCAAGAAGATGGAATTCCAAAGAAAAGAATTTATCAAACTTTTAAGTTTGCATTTTCACTCTGCTAACCGATGGAATTTACCAACTTGGGAGGTTTGCAGAGAAGAAGAAAGAGATGAATGCACATCACCAGTTACCTTGGATGTTTAAGTTACTACAAGCTTAATCTAAATTTAAGAACAGTGTTAACTGTAACTTCAATGTAGTTCCACAGTTAAGAAGTTGATAAAAAAAGATATATTCATAGTTAAAAAACATGATCATAGGGGTGTTCTAGCAAGAACAGAACCCAACTAGACCATTATCCGATATTATTTAAATTTTAAAACATTAGACTAGATAAAGCACATACAAGTAAGCTGAAAGAAATCAGACATTGAACTTACCAACTAGTATTCCTGCAGTGAGATGTAAGAGGCAAAGATAAGCATCCATTATAGCCTGTTGTCCGACCATTAAAATTGAAACTTTGGCAGCCCCCTGATAGATAAGAATCATGATAGCTGTTATGAAATTGCAAATCACAAAAAAATTTTATGGATACAATTTTTCCCAAATATACGTTCATCACAATCTTACATCTTAGCTTGTTATCTTCAACACATACACATTATTTTGCTGAATGTCTTTAACAGATAACCAATCTAAAATACTTACAGACTGAGTATTGCTATGTTCCATTTGTCGAATTAACAGAAGAACTTGAAGGAAAGAGACCTGAATCAAAATTGTTAAAGAATCCACCAAAACAATGTAAAAACATTTTATTGACGCTGAATCAGCAAAGATGCTTAAAGGATACAAAGGTAACCATTAAGGTATAGTTCACAGCTTTATTATAGTAAACTTCAATGTTCACAGAAGTAGCATTCAACAGCAAAGGTGACAAGCAATCCCCATCATCATCTACTGCAGGGCTCTCCATCAACCCCTCAATGTGGTAACGATCGTGATCTCCATCTTCAAAACACGAAAAAAAAAAAAAAAAAAAAAAAAAAAAACTAGAAGAATTAAGTAATCCTATACATTTAATGTCATGTGACTGCAAGGTTTCTTTCCTAGTTGGTTTTTTCTGCTAAATAAAAGTTCTGCTAGCCTGAGAGTAAATAATACTCAACTCTTCAGCCTAACTTGGTCTCGGGAAGAGTAGCTTTCAAGAAATGTCAAGATTGAATTGGTATTTTTATGTCATTGAGTCATTCAAAGGAAACATTACTTAGTTATGGCCAAAACCATAACAGCTCATCTCAAAAGTAAGGTGCTTTCTTAACTATCGAGTAAACCTGATTCATTCATTTAAGAAATACAGAAGGTGTGGCATGCAGTATTTTAGATATGTGGATGTGTGTTCAGAACAGCAGGTGAGGGCAATGAGGAATTCAGGGGCTGAGATAATTCAATTACCATGTTGGGAAGAAGAAATGTGTGAAATTTGAGCTGCAATTTCCATATTGCAATGTTTCTCCACCTCATAAATTGGAGCTGCAATACCAAAAGATAAAAGCTCACCAAAACATAACAGCAATTAAAATGAAGTCAAAAGAGTGAATTTGATGGCATTACAGTTCTTCCTTCTCCCAATTTTTTCTCGTGGAGATTCCTGGAACACTTGAGAGGAGAAAACTCCAAGCTGGTCAACCAATAACAAAATAGCAAGTTAGTAACCACAATCATAAAAGGTTTCTATAACATTAAACCTAATTTTGTGATCCATCAGACTCATATGTAAAGCAAATATCAATGAGAAGACCCCCAAGTTTTGGAATATCTGTCTCAAGCCTGCTTACAAGATTCAATTTCTTTGGCAAACCAAATACATCCAGATGCATAAGTTGAAAAGGTGATTAAGTTCTTTAATTAGATAACAACTTGGTTTAACCATTCAAGTAAAAGAAATGATTTAAAATTCAACTAACAAAACAACTTGCAAAATAACTTATAAAGCTATTGAGTTGGAATACATCTCAAAGTATTATATGCTAAAGGATCAACATAAAATGCCAGTAACCCATTTAAATGAGTATGATAGGAAGTATTACCAAATGATATGGGTTAGATAAAATATAATCTTCCTCCTGACTTGACTCTCCTTTTCCACTGCAAATTGGAAGAAAATGAAAATTTTAGAGTAGAAAAATCACAAGGCAGACCAGATCCATCACATATATCACCATAAGAGTCAAGATATAGATGTGAGAAATCACATATGTATCAAATTTATGTCCACACAATTATCCATTCTATTTTTTTCCTTTCTCACATATGATTTGAATATTTGGTTTATCATTAAGATCATTTTCAATTTCCACACATGACATTCATTTCAAAGTCCACAGCAAATTTTTTAAAGCAGTACTGTCTTCCTAGAATGTAAACAACACATTTAAATAGAGAGAACTCCAGTCAAGCAACCTTTTACTTTGGTTGATATAAAGCATTTAATGAGATGTTTATAATATAGATCATGCTCATGAGATCATTGTGCAATAGCCAGGAAAAACAAGAGAAGAAAAGGCAGAATATAGATGGAATGGTGCACTGGGTATGCACAACTGAACCTGGAAGAACTTTTCACAAGCAACCAACTTTTAGAAATCTCAAAGGTTTACCTGCTAGCTACCATTCGAAGCTGTCTAAAAGGCCATATATATACACCTTCTACCCGGATTTGAGCACCACCAACATTGTGTTCATTATCAAAAACGTCATGGAAAATTATTACACCCTGCTCAACACCATGAAAAAAAAATAAAAATCAGCTAAGAAGCTGTGCTAACATGAAAAATCAGATACTGATTACTGAAACCATCAAACAAATGAATGTCAATCTAAAGAGACCAGCAAATTTTAACAATATTTTAAAAGAATCATATTGGAAGCTGCAGATTTCAATCTTCATGTTTCAGAGTTCAGATGTTTAATACCAGCACATGCATAAAACAAGGTCCATATGTGTACAAACTCAAAGGTGAGTAAACTATCATATTTGGTTACAGCTATATCCACTTTTGCAACCAGAATTGGTGACAAGAAGCAATAACATCCCACTTAATGTCCAACATACTAAAAATGCTCCTCACTAACATTCCATATCTTGGGGTTCCACTTGGTAGCAGGACCCCTTCTTTAATAATAACAATCGCACACATCCAAGATTTGAGTCTTTGACTTGCATATGGTTGATCAACACCCACTAATATTAACATAGAGATAAGCCTGCACAAATTGTGATTTCAGAGCAGAGATAAAATGAATCTGTTAAATGTCATAGCAGAGTTAAATATATCAATTAAAAATATTGGGTGGGGTACATGATTGGTTTGGAAAATTCTTAACAAGTTTGAAGCAGAGGTCAAAGAAGAACAAGATAGAACAAGGAAGAAGCCACTGCCCTGAACCATTAAGCAAGTAAATGATGCTCCTACAATCTATAGAACTAATAGAAGATGCACATTAGTACTGACCCATTTGCATCTCATCGTGTTAACATCAGTTCTTTCCAAATATTTTTTTGGCTTTCAATGGCATTGGCTCTTTAAAGAAAAACCAAGATAAAGTTTACACCTATGCTGAAAAGCACCATCGCAGTTACAGCAGCCATGCTCTTTAAAAAGAGAAATAATTTCTATTGTTAATGAATGGAATAAACAAAAGGAACAGAAACAGATAAGAGGAAGGAGAAAAAAAAAATAAAGGAAAAACTCCATGTCTTTCAGTCTCTAACATAGAGGAGCTGAGACTTCCTCTCATAAGCAATCAGATCTCCTCTTCGAGCCTAAAGCAAGCTTACAACATACAGAAAACTATATATTTTAATCTCTACAACTATGATGATGTATTTTCTATATATGACCATTATTAACAAGAGCCCAAACCTCTTACCTGAACATAATGGACACCAGTTATTTTTGTTGGTGTACTAACTAATTCGATAACAGAATTGCCATTGGATTTCCTAAAATCTGGAAACCTGGAAGAACTATTTGTGGCATCCAGAAATTTCCAAGTCCCTGCAATTTCCAAATACACATGCAGTTGCATTAGTAAAAAGCTATCAACCCAGGTAAATTTATTAAGAAACTGGAAGGTTGACTTTATAATCTATTTAGCAAACCAAATAGTAAATTCAAAACCTCGGACAAGCATGGCTTAGATGCCAATCAACCAGTAATTCTTTTCAAACAAGCGTTTATCATATTTACATCTAAAGCTGCACTTAAATTAAAACAACTTTTTTTGCATGTTCCTTTAAAGCTGCAATCTAGAAAAATCTAAAATGTAATAATTACAGGGAATAAAAATAGGGAATTGGATAACAAAGCCAAGGCAAACAAAATATGGTACAAATTACCAATACACTAGTATGGCATTTAAGTAAATATTTAAGTAAATACAACAAGATCAGACAAGAAATATGGTAATAAAATTTTTCTATAATGGGAGAACAGTAATATCTGGATGACAGAATTCAAGAAATTATGACTTTCAGACCTCGGTATGTCCCTGTTATGTTCCATGCAGAAAAAGGACCCAACTCCTTTCCATCTTTTCTGACCAACAGCCACTGCAAGAAGCATTGTTTAGATAAAGACAAAGAAAATTAGGCTTGACCATATTCCATAACTCAGAAATCAAACTTTATTCATGAAAAATTGTATCCACTTGCCATGAAACAACAAAAGTAAGTGGAATAAATAGATTTTAATGCTGCAACGACAATAGTAATGGGTTGCAAAATAACTGAATGAGTCCTTTTCCTTCTTTTCGGTATTTAAAGAACTATTTTCTCATTTTAGTTTTCCCTTTCCTACTCAGAAGCAAGGAAACATAAACCCCATATGCAGCTTCTTCTATGAATAGGACTAGCACAGATGATTAAAAAATTAAAAAGCAAAAATAACCACAAGAAAACCAAATCTTTGCTGATTTAAATGGAATTACCATGCTCAGTAACATGACTAATAAGATAGTAGTTTTCTCCATTCATTCAAAAAACTAAATCCTTGTCCACCAATTAGGTGACAATGGAATAAAAGGATGAAGTTAAAAAATTTAACAATAAAAAGGATATTTATGAGACAATTAGTATGCTTATACATGAAACAAGGTAAGCAGAATGGCAAAAGTATTTAGGTCTGCAGTAAACAATCAAATCTATCCACTAACAGATTTCAAAAGGGATAATCCAACCAGGACATCTTCCCTCCTATGGTATATTGAAAACAACAACTTGCGTTGCACTTCTATCATATATTTGGAATAATTAAAGAATAGAAAAATTATAGAAAAAATGTTGATCTTAACCAACTGGAGCTTCAAAGAACTAAAACCCCTATTCAACAAATCCTGGTATGAGTGTATTTCATTCTATTTTTTAACATAAAACAACTATTCATCATGATACAGGTTATTTGTTTATTTTTCTTAATAGCTTGTGCTCTTAATGTATTAGGAACCTGAGCTACGGCACTTTGATGCAGTAGGAAAAGAACAAACTTGAGAATTCATATGCTTGTACTGGTGGAAGACATGTTTATGGGTTTGGGTACCCCTTGTACCCATTAAGAAATTTCTTTGGCTTATCAAAAAAAAATTATTCATTTTTCTTAAAAATTTCTCAGCATAATACCAAAAGTTTATTTGCTAGAGTCAAGGAGATATCTACTTTTATCTTTATTCAACCCTCTACTGTCACTATCTACCTAGCAACATAATCTACTTCTCTTGGTTTGATTGCAGATCTAATGCCCTTCTCCCTATGAAGTTCAGCAATACAGATTTGTTGAATAAACTATCGGAATGGACAATTCAACTCCAATTTTGCAGCATTTCATTCAAAAAATGTCAGAAATGACCCATGCCTTATACAGACAACCCTAACCTCAACTAGTTAAAACCCTGATACCACAATAAAAAGATAATAGTAGAAAACAACTCTGCAGCTATTAGTTAACTCCTACGAGAGAACTCCATACCTGATATGATCAGAACATAATAACCAATTAAAAGTACATGTTTCACATCCAAATTTCATAACTTCATCAAAACTTTTCATTGAGCATAATAATAAACATTATATAAAGCACAATAAAGAAAAAGCTATAAAAATTCAAAGAACGAACCTCATCACCCCATGTCCCAGCCTTCTCTCTGATCGGTCTTAATCCCGCAACCGGCTTCAAAAGCACAAGACTAAACCACAACCCAAGCAGAAGCCTAGCCACAAACCCTAATCTCCTCCTTTCTGAAATCCACATCAAACCCAAGTCTTCCCTGGTGAACATTCTAAATACCAAACATCCCATTTCACAAAAGAAGGGAAGAGAAGAAACCCCACGCCAATTCTACGACAAAGCAAGTATCTTTACCAGCTGAATTTCAAATTTGAGGCAGGAAAAGGACAGAAAACCACAACCCATCACAAGGGTTGCTTCAAGTGGAGTCAAACATTTGATAAATGATGAACTAACAAACAACCGAAGATCAGATAGCAGAAAAGGAGAGCTCAACAAACTAATCTTGGGAATTACTGATACTATTATGATTATTCTAAGCAACAACAATAGACAGGACTTTCACCAGAAGGACTTGGCACCAGAAGAAGCTATCAAATACAGAATCATAAATACAGTAGGTAAGCAAAACATATAAAATAAATATGTTAACGTGGGATTAGGTGGTTCGATGGTGTTTTGACATGTCCGCTGGCTTTGGTAAACGGAGGTCTCGAAGGGAATGAAGAAGAAAAGAGAATCAGTGCATTTGTTTCTGTACGTGAGGTTGATCTACGCGCGGCCATCAGCGGTGGAATCACGAACCAATTGGAAATAGAGTCAACCTGCTGTACCATGTATATGTTATCTTGCCAGCATATAACAAAAAATTGCATTCCCCTACGTGGCCCGCGTGGCCCGCGTGGCCACGCTGCTCAGCAGCAAAGTGGAATGCACCCTTTGGGCTTCTGGTCCAATCCCCCAGTGTAGAATAGATGCTAACTTAACCATGTAATTTTTATTGTAAAAAGGAAAAAAACAGAAAATTAAAACTTTCATTTTTAAAATTTCTTTTATCAAAATAATTTTTCCTTTTTATACTGCTATTCAGTTATCTAATAGTTATATTAGATATCAAACTTAAGATTTTTTAAAATAAAAATTGAGTTTTTTTTATTTGGATTAATAAATTTATTGATGCCAAAATATTTCTATTCAACAAGTAAAATGATAAAAATTTCTTTTTTGAATTTTAAAAATAGTATTTTATTTTTTAAAGTTATATTAAATTATAAAATATAAATCATTAAATTATAAAATATAAATCATTAAATAAAAAAATAACAATATTGAAATTCACTCCTTTGATTATACAGTTAAATATTACCCGAAGCATACTTTTTCCTCTTAATATTTCAAGTTTTAATTTGACAAAATACCCAAATCCACCTTTAAAGTATAGTGATATAGATGAATTCATCACCCTAAATTTTATATGTGATGTCATTTGACATCAACAATC